GAACCAAGGCCCTTTGATAGAGCCAGTCACTGTGAGATCATAAGCTTGTGACAGTCAGTATAGTTCCCATTTATACCAACAGTCATGCTGGGATGCACGTTAAGGATTGTGAAATAAGCCTATTTTCTGGGAGACTCTCTTCTGGGGGAAAAATAGGAAAATGCCTAGGTAAAGGGTAGGAAAGGTTGGCGCTCAGAGGAGGCATCTCAGCCATTTCCACGGTACACAGAACTAGACTGTTACTGGGTAGGCAGGGGAGTAGCACATTTTTGGTGCTACATTGGGTCATCCATTCTCCCTCACTCTTATCTTCTGAGCAGGTTGCTGTGCCCCAGGTTTCCCTCTTGGGGCCTCAGAGACCCCAGGTAATATTAGGAAAGGCTGCTTACTCATCTTCACCACTTGAAGCAATAGAACTAGGAGTTTGGAGTCAGACAGACTTGGTTTCAAATTCTTCCCTATTTTTAATTAGCTGTGTACTCTTGAGCAAGTTTATCTCTCTGATCTCTACTGGGCTTTTCTTTTTAATATTTGAAGCATTTTTCATTTTAAGACCTTTTCTTGACCAATCTTTTCTTCTAGCTACTGTCCTACCTTTCACAGCTAAGCTTCCAGAAAGTTCCTGTCTCTTTTTTAGCCACCTTTTATTCACTCCTTAACCCATTCTCATCTGGCCTCTGTTTACTGTTCTGGATGAGTTTTACTCTGGTCTCTAGTGATTCTGACACTAATTCTGTTGGACTTCTCAACAGCTCTCCGCAAACTTGACTCAACTGCTCCTTATGGTGATGGGTTTCCCACCCTGGGCTTTAACTTGCAGTCCTCCTGCCTCAGCCTTCCAGAGTGCTGTAATTACAGGTGTGTGCCACCACTCCTCAATTGTATTTTAATTGTTAGTCCCTTCTAGCTGTAAGTTCCATGAGGATAGAGGCTGGCCTATGTTTTTCCAGTATTATAGCCAAGAGCTTATCCAGCGGCTGGCACTTTGTAGATGTTCAGTAAATTTTGGTGAAAGGAAGAGTTTAGGTGGCTTACACAAGGTCACTAAGATAGTAAATTACAGATAATTGAAATTACGTCTAATCTTGATTTACCATGTGGATTCTTGAACTCTGTCTACTGAAGGGTCAGGCTATTGAGTTAAAACAGAAATTTGCTTCCCTTTTCTTTGCCCCATTTTACCTCTTGATTCAGGCTCTTCCTGTGTGGTTTCTGTGCCCATGGGGTTACAGATTGACTGACTTGACAGGCTTAGCTGGTGACCTTGTTGAACAATTCGTGGAATTTAACCTTGCCTGTGTATTGTATCATTGGCCTTGGGGAGGGAGTGATTCTGGAAACCAGGGTCCTAAGACATTTTCATTGCCTCATCCAAGGCCCATCTGATCTTATGACTTTGTCCTGGTATCCCAGGAGCAGAACTCTGGTATGAATCGAGGCCTCAGAGCTCCAACCCACCTCTTAAGTTGGGATGTTCCTATCCTTTTACAGGTGAAGCCCTGGGCCAGAGTGAGAGCCCTGGCTCCTGTGCTTCACAATTACCCAGGGAGTCAGGGCCAGAGCCTTCTGTGTATTCAGTTGATGTATCCAGGAATTCTAAGCCAGAAAACAGTCCAGAAAAGCAAGCAAGTGCATCTGCAAGCAGTCCAGCTTCCATTCTTAGTTGATGGTTCTGAGTGTTTCCTGAGGAGTAGCCAGCCCTGTTGAACTTTGTAGTGATGGATCCCACAAGGCTGCCATGCTAAGATGCCAGCTCGGGAGAGGCACTGTGTATAGAATCCACAGGTCTGGGCCCCACCCTCTGACTCTAGCTGTCTTTCTCAGTCACCTTTTGTACTTTTGTAAAACACATCAGAACCTCATGGCTGACTGACTGTCAGGGAGCAGAGTGGCTGATTTCTACAGCTTCAGCAAATGTTCATGGTGGGCCTTGGCCAGGGCACCAGGGTGTCGGACTTGGGCAGGAGTCAGTAGTGTTCTGTGATAGTAAGTGAGCCCACCTGTAGCTCCTTATGGTTTTTCAAGTAGGTGAAGGCAAAAAGCTCTTTTTGTGGAATTTTGGCTTAGCGTGGCATCTCTGCCTTCTATCCTTGAGGGCTCTTGGAATTGGGCAAGTTTTCTTTCTGTGTGTGTGAGTTCACTTTTGTGTGGCCTAATCCTTCTGACTCATCCTCCTGTGTGCTGGGATTATAGGTATGCATCACCACAGCCAGTTTGTTTCTGTTTTTGCTTGCTTTTTAAGAAGAGTAAGGCAGACTTTATTCAAGACGTGTCATGGCAATGGGGTCTTACAGTAGAGGAGAGAGATTGGACTCAACTCCTTGGGTGGCAGTTGTGATGGCTGAGAGGCCATTCCTCAGAAGGGCAGCTCAGTGGGAGGAGGGGAGGCCCCAGCAGGAGCAGCTGTGTTTGTCCTGAGGTCCTCACTTTTACTCTCCTTATTCCTGGGTCTGTGTACTTTCCTCTGCACTTCTGTCCGCAGCTTTGAACTAAATTCAGCTTTAGCTTTTTGAGACAGATTTTGCTTAGAAACAAAACTAAACAATTAAGAAATCACCCCATACACACGCACACACAAATAAACCCATATTAGGAAACCCAAATTAAGAAAATGTAAAAGGATTAAATACAAATAATCTACCTTACAGTTATAGGAAAATTGTAAGATGCAGGAAGCTCTTTAAAAAATTCATTATAAGCCAGATGTGGTGGCATCACCTGTAATCCCAGCATTTAGGATGCTGAGGTAGGAGGACTGTCACAAATTTGAGGCCAGCCTGGGCTACATCATGAGTTCAAAGTCAACCTGAACTACATAGCAATACCCTGTCTTAAAAAAAATCATTATAGCTGGGCATGATGATACACCCCTGTAATCCCAGTATTTGGAGACTGAGGCTGAGGCAGGAGGATTATCCCAAATTTGAGGCCAGCCTGTCTCAAGAAACAAAGAAAGCCGGATGTGGTGGTGCGCCTGTAATCCCCAGCACTCGAGAGGCTGAGGCAGGAGGATCGCTGTGAGTTTGATACCAGCATGGGCTATATAGTGAGTTCCAGGTCAGTCTCACCTACATAGTGAGAATCTGTCTCAAAAAAACAAAAAAACAAAAAACAAAACCAAAGAAAAAAGGGGCTGAGAATTTAGTTCAGTGGCACCACACCTGCCTTGCAAGCACAAGGTTCTGAGTTCAATCCCTGGTACCACCAAAAAAAAAAAAAGAAAAAAAAAACAAAAACAATTCACTGTGTAGTTTTTCAAGATCCAAAAGGTCTTGAGATTGGTTGTGCAATGGTGTAAATATACATACTACTAAATCATACATTTAGAAGTGGTAGCTGTATGGTGATGCATGCCCGCAGCCCCAGCTACTCAGGAGGCAAAGGCAGGAGGATTCCAAATTCAAGACTAGCTGGGCCTTAGTGAGACTGTGTCTCAAAATGAAACAAAAAGGATTGGGGAGTTAGCTGAGTGGCAGAGTGCTTGCCTAGCATGCATGAAGCCCTGAGTTCAGTCTCCAGTCCCCAGTACCACACACATGCTCTCACCCTAAATACCCAAGGAACAGAGACTTGAAATCTTCTAAGACTTTTTGCATTACATCTGTGCATGTGTGTGTGTGCATGTGTGTGCACACATGTGCACACACGTTCATGTAGCACTTAAGTGTTTACCAGTAAACCACAAAGATGGTCTGCAAAGTAGAATTTCTTTTTTAGATCATGGAATTAGTTATCCATTATAGTTAACCATAGTATTAAATAGGCTTTAATCTAAAAGTAATACACATTCATTAAGAAATACTTAAACATAGGGCTGGGGATTTAGCTCAGTGGTTCCAGTGCCTGCCTTGCAAGCGCAAGGGCCCGAGTTTGATCCCCAGTACCAAAAAAGAAAGAAAGAAAGAAATACTTAAACACAGAAAAGAAAAAAAAATGATCATTTTAGGACTGAGAGAATAGTTCAGTGGTAAAGAGCTTGACTAGCATTTGCAAGACCCTGCATTCGATCCCCACCACTACCAGAAAAATTCATTTATAATCCCACTATGAAAACATAGCAGTATAAAAATTCTGACGTTCCTTCTGATCTTTTCTTTGTATAGATTTGGCCTCGTATTTATGTATCATACCAGTCATACTGTGTGTCCAATTTTATACCCTACTTTTAGTACTATTTTTGCTTTTTTGTTTTTGTAGTGCTAGTTATTGAATCCAGCACCTTGCTTCTGATTTTTTTGTTGTTTACAGTTCCACACCTGCCTGGTTCATAGTGGACAAGCACTCTACCACCGAGTTCTGTTAGCCTGGCATTTATGTGGCTGTTTAGTTATTGTTTTCACATCTTTTTGGTATATGCCTAGGAATGGAACTATGATATGATAATTCTGTTTAACTTTTAGAGGAAATGCCAAAACCCTTGCTTTTGTAATTATAAATAATGCTTAAATGACTGTGTACAGGAAGTATTTTTGACATTTCCATTTATTTCTTTAAATTCCTTGAAGTGAAATTAATGTATTAAAGGGTGTGATAGGTTGGGACATCCTGCCAAATGTTATCCCAAAGGGTTGAACTTCCTTTGCTGTTGCCATAAATGTCTCAAAAATGCCAATGACACCAGAATATGACACCCAGTATTGCACTGTTTTAGATGTTGGAGAATGATGTTGTACATCTCTGATGGAACCAGTGTGGCCACAGAATGGCTTACCTGACACAGCTCCTCATCACTGGTTCTGAGGAGTTTGCCCTTTCTTTCCTCTTGTACCTGGACTAACTCAGCCCAGCCTTCAGATCCTGTTACAACTAACTTCCCAACCTGTCTCTGCTGTGTCCCTTTCTGCCCATCTACCCAGTAAAGATAAATTGTACCAGTCTTATAAAAGATGTTCTAATTCCCCGTCACTGTGAATGTTCTTCAGAAGACTGCAGGCCTCTCTGCTGCCTTCCCACTTGAGTTCTCACAGCTTTTCCTGTCTTGCCCTTCTGTTCTTCTCCAGTTCTACAGTGAGTCAGGCATGCCTACCAAACACCTTTCTGACAGCGTGTGTGCTGTGTGTGGGCAGCAGATCTTTGTGGATGTCAGTGAAGAGGGCATCATCGAGAACACGTACAGGCTGTCCTGCAATCATGTGTATCCTGCTTTCAGCGCCTGGGCCACATCTCTTCTATGACTACGCTAATCAGGGAGGGAAGGGGCTGGGTGTGACCCTAGGTGTGCCATCCAGACCTTTGAGGGAGAGAGCCACCAGACGACAGGAAATGCAGCCTACCATACCCATTCTGACAGCTGGAGCCCTGTGAGTATAAACAGTGGCTATAGATCACCTAGTTCAAAGAGCACCTGAGGCTGCAGCTAATGAGGCAGTGCTAGCTGACCCATGGGTGGATCTCACAGGGGAATGGATTCCCTCAGTTTAGAATCAAATCCCCTATTCTCAGTAATGCTTCTAAAATTTATCCTGTATTTACTCAGCTCCCATTCCGTGCCTGTGTTGGGAGATCAGTGTGTTATCTCCATTCTGCCCTGTAACAAGTCTGTAATATGCAGATCATTATCCTCACTTCATATGTGAATGAACAGGTTCTGAGAAAAGGGATTTGCCCAAAATTACAAGGTTGAGAAGAAATGAAGCCAGGATTTGAACCTTTCTCCAGAGCTGGCCCACAAGCACCTTGCAGATGAGCATGGGGCTGAAGTCCCATCCTCGCTTCTCACCATTTCCCTTGATACACGGTGCTCAGATTCCACGAGTTCTGTATCCGCGGCTGGTGCATTGTGGGAAAGAAGCAGACATGTCCCTACTGCAAAGAGAAAGTAGACCTGAAGAGGATGTTCAGCAATCCGTATCCTTCGTCTGGGTCATTGCTGGGAGTGGGTGGCGGGAAGAAACTACTGGCCAGTGTGATGCTGTATCTGGGGCCTTTTGGACCCTCCCTGGAACATATCTGCCATTCAGTTTGGCTTCTGCTCTGGGGAAGTTGTGGGTGTGACATGGTGAGGACTAGCATCTCAACTTCCCTTCATAAATTGATAGGAATAGCAGCTACCATTTTCTGTTTGCTTACCATGTGTGGCTGGCACTCTGTTAAGTATTTCACTTATTTCACTCACTTGATTCCCTAGCAACTTTATGACCTGGATAAATACCCTCATTTTACCTTTTAGAGGTTGGGAAGCTTAAGGTTAACTGATGGTTAACCAGGGTGGTGGGCCTGGGATGGAGCTCAGTGACACTATCTTACCCATGACATACAGCTAGAGATCAGCTCTGCGTGGGCTGGGCCTGCAAGACATAAGTATAGGTGAAGGACCCTCTGCCCCCATCCACTTTCAGGGCCGGACTGTGCTCTTCTGAGCTACCTCTTCCTGCCCAGCCAGCCCACACCATTCTCTTTCTGCTTACAACCTGTTTGTTAGAAAGTACCCAGCTACTTCTCTGGCCCACCCTCACTTCCTATGAGGTCCAAGACCCAGCGTTCTCCCGTCTTCTTTCCAAGCTGCCCTTTCTCCACAATTCCTGTCCCTTTTCTGGCTGGGCTGTACACGGGACATTGTGTTCCTAGTACACTCCCACATCCCTGAACAGGACATTCTGGCCTCTCCCCTTTCACATCCTGCTTGATTCCTCCAGGGTCTGGTTCAAGGACAGTTACAATTCCATGGCCAAGCTGAGGCTTAGCTTAGCTCTCAGAGAACTGAACCAGCCTGATCTTTTGGATGCTCTGAAAGGGTTGCCCACAGCTTCAGGGGCTTGTCCCTGATCTTTCCTCAGAGATGGTATCTCCAGGACTACCTCCGGGGCAGCTTGGCCTCAGTAGGATCTAGAGCTTAATGTTCTGGATGGCACCTCCTTAGAGCCTTTGGCAGGGATGATCTCCTTGTGATTAACCCTTCATCCCTGTTCCCTTTAGGCTCTGACTCCAGATCAGTCCCTTTCTTGACAGAAAACCATCGTTCTGGACATAAGAACCTTCAGGGTTACCTCATTTACTCCTGGCCTCCTTGGAGCCATTGTCATGGGCACCTTCACAGGGTATCTTAAGTTCCAAGCTGTGTCTCCTCCACGCTTGCTGGCCCACCGTAGAGAAAGTGTCACATGAGGCCCTCTGTGATGCTGGTCACAAAGAGCTCTTTTGTCTCATGTCTTTCCTGTCTGTAATATCAGTCCCCCTTGTTTTCCCCTATTTTCTGGGCTCAGCCCTTTGTCCCACATAGAAGAAAGGCTGGGTAGCTGTCTTTTCTGTAGGCTACTGAGCTGCTGGAAAGTATGGGCAGACCCAGGAAGGTCTGGAAACCCTCTCCCCAGTGCTAGACAAACTCAGCAGCTCTTGGACATAGCCTCTGATCCTTAACACCCTGACAGCTGGGAGAGGCCTCACGTCATGTATGGGCAGCTGCTGGACTGGCTTCGGTACTTGGTAGCCTGGCAGCCTGTCATCATTGGCCTGGTGCAGGGCATCAACTACATCCTGGGCCTGGAGTAGTTGGGAAGTTGCAACATTGGAGAACCCACCCCACCCACTGTGGACCTCAGGGCGCTCTCCTCCCTGCCCACAAAGACCTCCTGGGTGGGAAAGACTCAAAAGGGTGCTTGGGCCATTCAGGACCCCCCCCCGGCTGTGTCTGGCCTGGGGAGGGATGTGACAGAGAGCCAACCAGCGGGGCTGTCAGCAGTGCGGGGCTTTTTAAAAGAAAACTATTTTGATGAATATATTTAAAAAAAAATCCTTTTTTATTGTGGAACACAGGAGTTGCCCCCCTCCAGCCTCAGCCTGCCCAAGCAGGTTGGGAGCGGAGCCTTGACATTTTTGGTTTAAAGGAGCCTTCTCACCTTTGGTTGAGAGCACTGGTGGGTTCTCAGGAAGCTGAGGGCCTCAGCACACCCACCCACTCTTCTTTTCCCTCTGCGGGGCTCAAGCTTGGGCCACCCAGTTTGGAAGAACTGAGGAACTCAGACTAGTGGCACAGTTGAGCACTGAGGGATAAGCTGTCTCCTGCCCTGCCCCGTCTGGGGTATAGGATGAGTGTTGTGTTTGTCTCCCCAGGAGACACTGTCCAGGCGCTAAAGGCTGGGTGAGGCAAGTGGCAGCTTCATCGGTGACTTTTTCAACAAGGGAAGTCCTGGGGCCTCGATGTGTTTGGGACAACTGGAAGAATCAGCATAATGGCACATCTACCGCTGAGCAGGGCTGGGTCAGCTAGGAATAGAGGCTGAGGAGATGACTTGTAGGAGCAGTGACTGAGAGCCTCTTGGGCAAGCTGATCCTTTGGCCTGAAAGAGGTGATGTGCCAAAGGTCACTCTGCCATATCACTTCCTTCCTGAAAGCCTGAGGGCGAATGTTCGCGTGCGTGTGCATATGTGTGCACACATAGCAGCAGGACCGGCTATGACAGATGTCTACTTCTCCCAGTCAGCAGACGGTTTGCCCTTGAAGCTAGCAGGGGATTCTCAGGCAAGGGGGTATCCCTGTGTGAACGTCATCATTCCTGGGCTCCTCTGCCCCTCACAACAGGAATGGTGGATGGGTGGGAAGGAGGATAGGCCTAGGTGAGTACACGTTCTGAAAAGGGGCTTCCAAGCAGGCCTCGGCCTTGGTCCTAGGAATTCTGAAGGACGTGGGAGGGCCGTGGCACTGGGTTCCTACGGAATCTGGCCCAACAGGGCCTACCCCTTCACGGACAGTGAGAACCAAGCAGGGTCTCGTCACGCATCTGAATAAAGCTCCGTGAGCTGGGTTGGAAAGCTCAACACCATCTTGCTTCTCTTTCCACCTTTCTTTTGGGTCCCAGGGTTGTCTGTGTCTACTGCCCCTGTCGAGAGCCAGGGCCTGGAGGCGATCGCCACTGCCTTTGCACTATTCCAGCATTCCCGGGAGTGGTGAAAGGCCAGGGATGAGGGGCTCTGGGGCATCACTGGGTTGGCCAGTGCTGTCACCCCCGCCCTCCTCAGTGCACTCAGCCACATCTTCCCTGCCCATGGTACCTCACTGCTCTTGCCACCTGTGGGGAACCTTCAGGAAGAACTGGGACTGGGCAAAGGACAGAGAGATTGTCCTTCCTTTCATTTCTGTCTCCCCACCCCCACATGAGGCTGAGAAGCTGAGGCCAAGGCTGTTTTTTCATTCTTAGCAGTCCTCAATCCACAACCTTGCAGTGGCCCACCTTTGGTCTCTTTTACACTGTATGGTCCTAGCTCCTCCCCTTGTCAGTCCACCCACTCCCCAGAGGGCTGTGGCCCCGAAACCTTTGCCTTGCCTCCAGATTTAACTCCTGGAAATACTGGAGTTTCTAGGAAGTTTCCCCTGCAGCCTAGGCGCTTCTGGGGTGGGAGGAGAGGCAGGAACAGAAAGGACCAGAAAGGGTGGGAGGAGAGGGAGGAACAGAAAGGACCAGAAATGTGAACTGGACACCTAGAGAACAGGATGTGACTTTAGGACTCTTACTTGTGTCTAAATTTCTAACACATTCTCCAACCCCAGTTTATCTCCTGTCCTCCCCGGCCCTTCTGTTAACAAAAAGCACAAACCAGACACACAGCTCTTGTCCAGATACTGAGAGTGAGCCCTGCATAGTCCTGGCCCTTGTTGCATCCCCAGCTCTGTTACCTCAATGACCAGCGTAATGTGTTTGTGTAGCCTCTGAAGTGCTAGAGCCAGTGCTAGATCACCGCTTCTCTAAGAAGTGCCTTCCTATCTTTTTAAGGCCAGCTTTCGGCTTGTGTTAAAATCTCAGCTGAGAGGTCTTGCAGACGGGGTGGCAAAGTGCTGTCAGTGTATTTCCTGTGGCATGGCACATGGGGCTGGACACAGCTCCACTGAACTTTGGAGCCCCCAGAAAGGAGTTTCTGAAAAGTAGGGCTCTTTGGAATTTCTTGGGAGCTAGGAAGTAGGAGTCTAGACCTACTTGTATCACCATATCTGGCTCCCCTTCACTTTTGTTCTAACTAGAAAATTCAGAGCAGACACTGACAAGGCAGCTAGATCTGTAGCTCTGGCCAAAGCAAGTGAGAAGGGTTTGTGGGTATGACGGCTGTTGGGTAATGCAACTCATTTGGGGCCTTCAGGCTGGGGAGAGGGGGAGTGTGAGGAAGGCCAGGATATCGATGGGCTGGTGTGGCACTGAGCCTCAGTCACAGCGATCCAGCTTTGGGTCCCCAGTGCCTAGGAATGTTGGCCCCTGGATTGTCCGTATGAATGTGAAAGGAGCAGAAAGGCCTGTTCACATGGGAAACAAAGCTGCGGTCTGAAAACCGGAGGGACGCATCTATCTCAGTTTGGTATTTGGAGACCAGGGGCCTGGACGTTAGCAGGATGGTTCTGGCCACCGTGAGCATCAACTGAAGATGATGTGGCAGCTGTCTTGTCAGTGTCTGCTCTGAATTCCCTGTTAGAAAGTGAAAGTGAGCCAGGCATAGTGACACAAGCCTGCAATCCCAGCTACTCCAGAGGCTGAAGCAGGGGAATTGCAAGTTTGATTCCAGCCTGAGTAACTGGGAAACAGCCTGAGATCCTGCCCCAAAACTTAAATGAGGGCTGGGGTTGTACCTCAAATTAGTCTTTCCAGAATGAAAAATGAGGGCTGGGGCTGTAGCTTGGTGGTAGAATGCTTGCCTGTGTGTGAGGCCCTGGGTTCAATCCCCAGTACAGGGGAAAAAACAAGAAATAAGTGAAAACGATGGGATGGGTAATGGGCAGTACTTCCCCAGAAGTTCGCGGTGTCCTCTCCTTTCCAGAACGAGCACTGCCCAGTGGAAAGAGCATCACCTCCCTATATAATTAGGTAAGTCCCTGGCCCTGTTTCCCAGCATAAATGAAGGGGTAAGATTGGATGAGGTAGCCGTTATATTTGTAAGACCTGGGGTGTGCGAGATTATTGATCTAGCCTGTGCCAGAGGCCTGTCCTGTGGGACTTGATGTGACATAGACAGGACGTAAGTGCCTGGCAGCCCAATGAGCGTCCAGATGTCTGGAGCAGCTATGGCATTTATAGGAAGGAGTTACTGAGAAAATAGTAAGAGTAGTTGATTTCCCCTTTCTCAGGCTGGGAGGAAGTCAAGTCACAGATACATAGAGCCAAGCCTACCAGCTCCTGACACATGCATCAGGACCATGGGACAGACCTGGACACCAGGTGGGATGTGGAGATGTGCGTGTTGGGGGTGGTGTGGAGTCTGTGAACACAGTGGAGTCGTGGGTAGCTCTGCCTTCACCCAAGGTGAGCTCAGCAGTGTACTGTGCGTTAGCTCTCTCCAGCAGGGAGCACAGACTGTGAAGAGCCTGGCGCTGGGGGACCTCAGCCCCACCCTGTGAAGCACCCACCAGCTCCTCTGTGGACCTAGGGGCTTCTGCCTCTTCTGATTCCTGCCCAGAGCCCAGGAACCTCTGGGCTGGAGTTATACTCTTAACTAGGAAGCAACAGTATCTGCTCAAGATAGAAGCCAAGATAAGAGCACTGCCAGGCAACTCAGTCACCTGCTGACCTGTGACTGTCCTTTCCTCAGACTCTTGTGGGTCCTGCTTCCCACGCCGTCACTCTCCCGGCCAGAGCCACACCTACATCTCAGACCATCACAGCTGCCACTGCCTCAGCTGCGATCTCAAAGGACCCCTGCCCCTCCTCACCCCCAGTGCTGCCAACAGCTGAGCCGTGCCCAGCATTGGAGGTGACCTAGCCAGAGTGCAAGTGCCACTGAGTAAGGAGCGATTATGAGAGCCCAGGAGGACACTGGTCGGGGTGGATTGTGGGCACCGTGGGTCAAGGCTGGGTTGCCTCTGAAGTGAACCTCCCACCTGCCATGCATCAGCAGCCTGGCCAGTTGGCCGAGCGCTCCCCTCACTCCCCTCAACCCAGTATCATGGGTGTGTGGACTCAGGACCCAGCTCCCAAGATCATCCCTGTCAAAGGAGACTCATACCTAAGAGATGGTCAGAGGATATCCGAGGGCCTTGGTGGCCCTCCCCAGAGCCTGCATGTCCTCTGGCATCTTGGGAACATCAGGCTGCTCACACTGCCCTTTGGCCTGGGTTTCTTGAATCAGAGCACTACAAAAGGTTACCCTGAGGAAAAGGCTCAGAAGCAGAATCATCACATAAACCAAGGAGCTTTCCCCAAATTCCCTGTGCACAGGCCTTGGGCCTCTCTGCACTTTCCCTTTAACAGACTCCTGCCTGGGTGGAGTGTCCGTGTGGTACTCTAGGCTCCTGGTTCTTTTGACTGTGGGGAGCTGGTGGGTGAGCGGGGCAGCAGGGGGAAATGCTGTAAAGTAGGCTAACAGCTATGTGTGTCCCTAGATGGAACACTGACCTTGTCCTGTATGGCCTGCAGCCGCTCCCCTCACCTCAGCATCCTCTATTGGCTGAGCAATGGCTCCTTCATTGAGCCCCTCCCAGGCCAGCTGAGGGAGTACAGCACCAGGTGAGGGTCTGAGCCATACCAGTGGGAGGTAGGCCTCGTCCTATAGCCCTCACTTTTCCTTCCCTGCTCCAGCCAGGAGCGAAGAAGCACAAGTACCCAGCTGTGGAAGGCCTTAGTGCTGGAGGAGCTGAGCCCTGCCCTGTGAAGCACCAACTTATCCTGTGTATTTGCAGACCCTGGACAGGTTGCCTAGTGTCACGTCCTCCGGCCCAGCTCTGGGTAAGGAACAGAGCTCTGCTTCTGTGTGGGAATAAAGGGTGGAGTCTGCCAGGGCAGCCACTAGGCTATGCTCACCACTGCCCAAGGCCAGCCTGAGGTGCAAGCGAAAAGAAACTTTGGTCTCTGGCAGGGAGGGAGGCATAGCCTAGACAGAAATGACCAAATGTCCTTCCACTCTTGGCTCTGAATTCTCTGCCTCACCCCAGGATGGGCTGAGGATAAGCTGCCCTCTCAAAAAGCCCTGCCTTCTAGCCCAGGGTCCCCGCTGCCCACATCAGCAGGGTCAGGTCAACACAGAACAGCAAAAGCATGACCCCGAGCAGCCTTTCCCACCTGCCTAGAAAAATCACATTAACCTCCCCTTCAATGCTTTACCCTCTTGCCCGCTTTTCTACTTGTCCCATTAACTCGTCTTGTCACATTGCTGTCCTGCTCAGAAACCTCAAGACCTGTCTGCCTTAGCCCAGCACACACAGGCCCTGCCTGTGTTCCCAGCATGATTTTCCAGAGGTCTGCAAAGATCCTTCCTCATTCCTAGACAGCTCTTGCTTTGGCACCTTTGTTCACTTGGTCCCCTCTTCCTCACTATCCCAAAAGGTGAGCCTGAAGGCTGGGTGAAGACACCCTACACTGACATTGTACATAGTTTTTCTCACTGAAATGAACTGTCCCAGAAAGGAGCAGTGGCTGCTTCTGATCCGCAAATGTACCTGTCATTCTCCACCAGGGCCTGGAGTGAGGTCTCATAAAGGATTCATCGGAGGCATCTGGATATCTGCTCATTCAGGCCTCAGTTCCACTCACAGGAGGAGGGAGGATGGTACAGGGATTGCCACTTAAGAGCCAAAGATGTCAGAGGAACTCGGGTTCTTAAAAAAGAAAACAGCAGCCTACAACTCTTAGGAACCGAGGCCAGAAACAATGTGGGAAGATCCTGGGGAAAAAAATGGCCCCCAAAGCAAAGGATGAGAGAAACAAGGTGGTCTGAACATTCTCAAGGATAAAGATAGGCTTCAAAGACCCTAGATTTCCCCTTTTCCTGCGCAGATCAGGCAGCTCAACACTCCAGGGAGAAAAATAGACTTTATTTACAAGTAATAACATTTTAGAAAAGATCCATCCCCAGTCCGTAAAAACCTTCCCATTACTCCAAATCCCACCCGAGTGCAGTTCTGGGGAAGGTGGGGTATGAGCTGCTATTGAAGGCTGCCCCTCCTGTCCCAGAGATCCAGGAGCCATCTGTGCTGCCATCTGGGCAGCTGTGCCCTTGGGTGGAAGGGAGCAGGTGGGACAGGGGCTCACACCAGGTCATGCCCAATCCTGGGCTGCAAGAGCAAGGGCCTCTGCTAGGCTGAGCCACCAGCTGTAGGAAACAGAGCCTGCTCCTCCAGTGGTCCCTTCTAGATCCAGAGGCTGAGAGGAAGACTGGCTGGGCTCAAGGATCCAGTCACTCATAGCCAGCCTCAAATCTGGTTATGATGGAGAAATGACTTAGCTCCAAGATAAGATCAGGAGGCAAGGTGGGGAGAGGGTGCCATACTGTCCCAATTCCCAAGCCTCCTGAGCCAGCTCTGGGAATGTGCCAGAGAAGGCACCACTGAAGGCCCAGGTACCAGGCCAGGGTGTGGGGAGGCATCACTGTCTCTAGGGGTTTGGCCACCATTGGCCTGGGAGCTGAGAAGGCACTGAGAGGGACAGAAGGAAAGGGACCAGGCGAGGGCAGCATTGGGAACACAGGTGGGGCCACTCACTGGTACTGGCCCTTAGTGCTTTGCCTGCAAGAGATGAGACAGTCACAGGGCTGGGTAAGACCTGCTGCCACACACCCCTGAAGGATCCCTCCTGTGTGAGCCCTGAACACATCTAGCTTCAGGTTGCCAGGGGCTCACCGTACCTAAGCATCTCTGGGTGCTCTCAGTGGAAATGGGGTCACCTGTCTCCTCTCTGCAATAAGCTGCTAACCAGACAAGGTGACACCACCTTGTAACTCCCCCCCACAGGTCATCTGGGGGACCCATGCTTTCATTGGGTTTCCCTTTCCCTTCCCTGCAGGGCCCCTACCTTGCCCTTGGCCCGAGGAGTGGCAATGGTGGCACTGGCCATGGAGGTGGCAATGCGCGGAGAGCGGCGAGTTCCACTGCGGGTGTTGGGGGAGGCCTTGGCTGGGGCCTTCTTTGCGGCCCCTCGCCGAAGAAGACTACTCCCCAGCTTCTTAGGTGTGTTGAGGATGCTGAAAGCCATTGACTGGCGCCGATCAGCCTGGAGAGTGAAGGCGTCTGTCGGTGAGAAGTCCACTGCCTTCCCAAGCCAGCCCCTGGTTCCAGGGCTCTGCCAGGAAGGCTCCTTTGCCCCCCTTCCCAGCCTAACCTGCTTAAGAATGGCTGAAGCTGCTTTCTTCTGGGTCTCAGTAGTGCTCTGTTTGCGCCCTTCATGTCGGTCCCGGGGAGTTATAGGGCGTGGGAAACAGCTGGTAGCCTTCTTAGACTACGGGGAAGAAGACATCACATGACAAGCGATGTGCTTTGGCTTCTCAGAGCTGAGAGGGCTTAACAGTCAACCTGCTCCCCTCCCCAACTCAGCCACGAGTCCTATCCCCTCACAGCCCTTGGAGACAAACTTCCCCACTTCTCAGACTTGTGAGCAAGCACTGTGCTGGATAAAACAGACACCAACAGCCACCCACCTCAGGGGTGCCAGGACCCTGGTGGGTCTCCGAGGACACTCGTTTACGCTGCTGCCGGGTGATGATACCAACACCCTCAGCGATCTGGGCCGGCTGTATGCTGGCTCGGCGCAGGGTCTCCTGAGGGTCTCCGGTTTTCATCTCCTCATCTGTGATGGTGGCCAGGCCAAGGGAGGGCTGTATGGGCAGAAGCAGCAGTCAGCAGACCCCCACTACGGAGATGGAGATGGAGCAGGAGCCAGCTGCTTCTCAGCTCTTCCTTGTGCCTGATACCCGGAGCAGGTGGACCCTTCCTACCTTAAAAGGGGTCCCTTCGTGGTCTCTTCTCTACATACACCCTGAACAAATGGTGAGGAGTCCTGAGAAGACTCCTCTTGAGCTCCTGAGCTCCTAAAGCTGCTGGCTATTTCACCTGGCCTCCTGTCCACAGGTGAGAGACCCAGGCACTAGTGTTCACGCTCTATCAGATGCACTGAGGTGAGAAGCCAAGGGAGGAGAGGACCCTGCACAGTGACCCCAGGGCTCACCCTGGACTCCAGGGGATAGCAGGTCTTCAAGTGTGGGGGGCATACTCGGTTGCGCTGCTGCAGCTCTGCAATCCGGTTCCAGTCGTCCAGCTGCTCAGGCTCATCCTGGCAAGCGCCCATGTAGAAGCTGTTCCTTCCTGGGGGTGGCAGGGGTATTGGAACAAGTGGGGCTGAAGCTGGCAGGCTGACCACTGGCCCTCGGATCTTGCCAGACTTTGCAGTCAGTATTGCCTTATTCCTAACCCAGGGATTTTAAGCCTATAGCAGTCCTGCTCTGATTCAGTGCTTCAGCGAGAGCAGTGGGGCACACAGTCCGTTTCTATCGCGAAGACTCCAATAGCTGTCTCCCAGCAGAGCTCATATGCCAAGCGAAGTACTAAACCTTATTTGCTTTTCTGAGGGCTAGTGGTGCCCAGACCAAGAAAATCTAATTGAGAGCCAGAAAGCAATACAGGGAGCCCTTCCAGCATCCCCTCACCCCCGGAGAACTGACAGGTGTTAACCATGCCCAGCATCTCAAGCCCGTCATGAGAATCCTGGTTTAAAGTTCCTCAGCACAGCCCCAGAAGGACAGGCAAGGCCCTGAGACTACAGGGAAGGAATGGGTGTGCTGGCGTAGGAAGTCCATTCAGATTGTTAAAAGCTTGCCTCTCCTCTGGGCCGTGATCCATTCCAGTCAAATTTCTGGGTATAGTTAAGTCCCTACACTTCCCTCACCTGGTGGGGCTCCACTGGACACCCCAGCCTGGGAGCGGCGAGTAGAGCTGCGAGTGGTGGGCCGGTAGCCGGGTAGGCTGAGCAGAGCCGAGTTGCCATCATCGGGAGAGCCCAGGCGGGCTAGAGACTGAGTAGAGGAGGTGGCTCGCAGGCCGGCCTGAGGAGCGGGGGCAGACTGCGTGCTGTAGAAAGATGAATTGGCGCTATCTGGCTCCTCCACATCGAGCTTCTGGAAGACAGAAGTTGCTGTTGCAGTGGGTGGGGAGTCCTGACAGTTTAAGGCCACCTCTCACCACACCCAACATACACAAACTCAGGCCCACAGCATGGGTGCATGTGCTCCCACACCAGTGGGCAAGAGTCCTGAGCTTGCACGACTCCAAAGGGGGCCTTACTGCCAGAAGCCCTCACAGGGTGCTATGGTTGTCAAGACTATTTTGTTCATTAAATCTATTAATGCTTTGAGGGAGGAAAGGTAGAGTTAGCACATTTCAGAGGTGACCCCACATCACACAGCTAGGAAGTGGCCCAACAAGCTAGAACCCATGACTCCTAAGCTAAACAGGCTTGGCTACAGCCTCCACTGTTCCTGGGCTCCTTCAATGTCTCCAACTTTCTGGTAGTAGAGGCACCCTGCACAGAGAGGCCCTCTAAGCTATAGCAAAGCACCTCTCTTTTCCTCTCCTCTACCTCCTCCTGGAGATAAAAACAAGGGCAGGAACCCTAAGCCTGGCATTAGTCTGCTGCAACTTCCCCTATTCAGCCCTTCAGCCTGCATGGAACGAACATCATGCAAGGGAGGATACTGGCCTGGTCAGAAGACGGGCCATTTCCAGCCCTGACCTTTCCTACAGGAGAGGCCCTAAAAGTCACTGGTCTTCTCGAGATCTCACCTTTCCCATCTGTACCACGTGACTGGCTGCTCATCCCTGCATGTACCCAAGGACCCGATGGAAAGATGCACTTGAGAGGAAGTGTGCATTATTCTCCTAGAGCCCCACTCCCAGCAGCCTGACCTTGGTCATGGTGATGTTGATGATTTGCGTAGTACGCCTGCGAGCGGATCGCGTTTTACGGCCCGAGTCCAGGAAGGCTTCCCCCAGGGAGTCCAGGCTGCTCTCCAGTGGGGCCTGGCCCCGAGCAGGGATGGGGGTGAAGTAGAGACTCTCCAAGGATTCTACCTTGGGGGGCAGGTGCTGGGAGATGGGTGAGGCTGGCTCTCCGGGGATGCTGGTGCCATCTGGCTGGGTACGAGGCAGCTTGCTGTAGAAAAGGAACTTGCTGAACTGAGGTCCCTGGGGCTAGGGGCATTCTGTCTATCCCTCTTTGACCATTCCCTACACTTATTACATACAGCTGCAAACACCCCGCTCTCTGATTTTTTTCTAAGAGTCCTTAATCTGGGCTTCTTACCAGTGCCTGCTCTCCAAGCCAATAACCTGTAGCATGGTCATTTTCCCCTATAAACAGGTCCCCAAACTAAGGCCATCTGTCTGTTCCTCTTCCTGCATCTCATTTCAGTACGTGAGTGTCCCCTTGCAGGCTTCCCAAGCCTGCAACATGGTGTGGGCATAACCTGACCTCTCCAAGCCAAGTGCACACCAATCAGCACAGCTGAGCAGCTCCTGGCTACACCCGTGTCCCTCAGGCAGCCTTATCTCTCACCTGGACTTGGAAGGGCACTTGAGGAAGGTGGCAGAGGGGTGGCAAACAAGGACTTGGCCAGGCTGCTGAGGTCCAAAACCCAGCTCCACCACCCTGCCCCAGTTCCATCCATTAAGGGAGATACAATAAGCAGAACCTACTTCAGAGGGTCAGTGGGTGGAAATGAACACTGGCACATAAATACAACCTAAGTTTTTAACAAACACAAATATGGGTTTCCAGTCTTAACTTTTACACAGGCTATCAGAAAAATCCTTCTAAAATGCAAATTCAGCCAAATTAAGCACTCCTTACTTTTAGCCCTTCTGTCGTTCCTCAGTGCCTTTAAGGTAGTTCAAACACAGCCTCCAAGCAGTCATCTAGGCAGGCTCTGGGCCCTGGGATGCTCCCTCCCAGCCTCCTGTTCCCGGCCAGCCAGGCTCCTCAGCTGCTGCTCACACTGCACCCATCCAACCGCGTGGCACACACACCTGACTTCTTTCAAAACTCAGCACGAGCAACAGCCTGTGCCCAGTCTCTCCTGACCACTCCCTTTCACACCGATGAGCTCTCACACCCGTTAACATTTCTTTATTCTCCCCTAAGAATAAACTTCCAGGTGGCAAAGGGCCTGCATCTGACTTACCCTCCTAGCCCATGCCTACAGTACAGCCTGCCCAACAGCAGACACTCAGTGAACAACTCAGGGTGGAGGAGGCCTCCTGACCTGGTGATGCTGAGTGGGGTCCCCTCCTCACAGCTCAGATCAAGGCTGTCGATACTCAAGTCCAGCTGGGGTTTAGCCTGGGGTTCGCGGCTCTTTAAGGCGTCAGAGGCCACCTGGAATTTACCCAGCTCTCGAAGCTGCTGGTCTGCATGGGCCACCTGGGAAGGAGTAGAGGAAAGCCTACAGCAGGGGTGGTCCAACAAAGCAGGGCTGAGGCCGGCCCGTTCAGTCAGGTGCTTACCTGTGCCTCCAGGCTTCGCACCTGGGCAGTGAGGTGGCGGCAGGTCTGCTCAGCCTCCTTGGTCTTCAGCCCAGCCTGCTGCAGCTCCCGGCCCAGCCGTTCAGCTTCAGCCTGCAGCTCCTTGTTCTCCTTCTGCAGCTGCTCCAGGCCCCGCAGCTGCTCCTGCAATTCTTGGTTCTGCTGCTTTTTGGCATCATAATGGGTCTTGGCTTTCTCCATCTGTATGGGAAGACGGGTGGGAAGGTGGCGCAGAACCTACAGGGCAGGCAGGATGAGGGACAGATTGGGCTGCGCTGGGCTCCTCACCTGCAGCTTGTAGTGCTCAGCTGCCTGCTCCTTCTGGCTCAACTGCGTCTGCAGCTCATTCAGCTGGGTCTGGAGGCGCTGTGCCTCCTGCTGGCTCTCACCCCCCTGGGCCTGGAAAGCCTGAGAGGGACAAAGAGGGAGCCCTGGCTGGCTGCTCCACCCAAAGCACTGACCTGCCCTAGCCATGTGGGTTCCACACTCCTGCATATTCTCTCTCAGGGCGCTCAGGACCGTCCACCCATACACTCACTGAACCAGTCCTCTGAAATAGCTCACATCCCCCATGTCTCGCTGTGGTGACCAGCTCCCCCTATCTGCTAGCTCTGACTGATATGATATGACAACTCTGTCTTTGAGTCCAGTACCAACTGTCTCCTGTCCAGGTGTACATCCTCCCCATGGAGGAGGAGAAGCTGATCCTTGGGGAACGCCTGGACGCAGATCATGGTGCCCAGCATGTGAGTTCTGTGCCAGGAATTCGTCTCTCCTCCAGACCATTTTGTGAAGTAATTTCATCCTCATTTCAGAGATGAAAAAACTGAGTTCAGAGCTTTAAGCAAACTGACCAAAGTCACAGTGTCTATGGCAGAGTCCACCTAACTCCAAAGCTGGTGCGGGCTCACTTATGATGCCACCACTGCCACCCACCCAGACCCTAACACCTTAAGAGCAGGCCTGTGTCTCTGTCCCCTACAATGCCAGTAATGGCTTGCTCCACTGTAGACCCCAGGTAGGAGCATCCCACCCTTGTCTCTCCTATAGTTCCCAGCTCAGGACAAGCCCCTAAAAGAGGCATAAGAAATGTGTTTGTAACACACTCAGACCTGATGCAGAGCACACGGAAAGGAAAAATTAAGCTGTGAGCTCCCACCAACACTTGGGCCCTCCAGGGCTTCAGTGAATCCCAAAGGCACTGGTGCCCAATTTGTTTGCCTCAATAAAGACTGAAAGAAAGCGCAAGGCTGCAAAAATATTAGCAAAGGTGACATAATTTAAAGCATTAAAAATACATTGTAACTGCATTACATTGTTATTGACACGCACACCCATTGAGCCCAGACCACCTAGGTAAGTGCTATTCTGCAGAACTTTGTAGGATGTGGCAGCAGGGAGATGTGGCTTGTGAACTTAAGAACTGTATTTTTTAATATATATCATTTAAAGAACCCCAGGCGACTTAGCTGTTGTGGATAATGAAAGTCCAGAGAAGAAACCTGGTCTTCCCTGAGAGCTCCCAGCATTACATGCAGGGGTTCCCTAATCAGGGACAGGCCTCAGGCCACCAGGCATGACCACAGGATGCCGTTCTTATTCCACCACCCCCTTCACCCAGGGGCTTAGAGAGAGCACTTCCCCACTCCATTCTCACTGCGGCAGCTAGAAGCAAGGCCCATCCCCCAAGTTGTCCCACCTTCAGCTTTTGCTGCTGCACCTTGCTGGCTTGGTCATAGTCAGCCAGCTTCTTACTCAGCTCTTCCACCTGGGGGGAGGAGAGGAGACAGCCAGACTCAGAAGACTTCTGCCATTAAGTCAGGAAGAACCAGAGGGTCTCCCAAGACCAGCGTCCCCAAAATTCCTACAAGAAACTCAGCCCTTTCTCCAGCCTAGAGTCAGGGCTACACACAGACATTGCCAGGGCCCCTGCCTGGACCTGCTCTACCCCCAGCCTGGGGCCACCAGAATCAGCAGAGCTGACTGTGGAGCTGACACTTTACCACCACCCTCCTGCAGCCAGTGCTCCCTGGCCCCAACCTTCCCGGCTGGGAGCAGGAACAGAGGCCCTAGTCTGGCGCTCCACCAGACATATTCAGTGGACACCCATCCATCCCTCCCACCTCCCAGAAACCATCAAAGCAAAAGCCCTGACGCCTAGACTTCTTCCCAATCTCGTGGCACATTAGGGACAGGGCTAGCAGAGTGGCTGCTGAGGTTAGCATTGTGGGGACAGGCTGCTGGAAGACAGGAGCAGGGTCAGCACACATTCCTCCCACCCCCAGTCCCGAAGAGAGGAAGGGGCGAGAGGGACAGACAGTAACAGCCACGAGCACCCCTGGCTCTTCCAAGCATTCTGGGGCTCAGACAGGACCAGGCAGCAGAGAGAGAAGCAAGGGCTCCATTGCTACTGTTTGCTTTTCAATTTGACTGTCCCCTATCACCTCTGGCTTGTTGGAAGAGCTAACAGGAAGAACGGATGAAGCAATTCTCCCACAGGCCTGAGGTGACTGGGAAGGAGGGTGCTGAAGGGGTGATCTTTAACTACATACCAGCTCCATTCCAAGATGTCTCGAGAGCAGAGTAAGATCCTTGAGAGAGAGAGGCAGCCAGACCACGGGACCTCATCTGCTTTCAACCCTGGCCTTCTGTTCCAGGCAGCACCACATTGTGCTCTAGGTTAAAGCCTCAGAGGTGCTAGATAGGTGTCCTGAGCCCACCACCCTCCCCAGCCTGAGGGCTGCCTTACACACTGCCTCTGTGGCTGCAATAAATCCATACCGTGGGAAAGAGGGCACTGTGATAAACCAGGCCTACAAGGAACTCTGCTGTTCCTCTTAGCAGCGTATCGTATAGTAGAAACAGGACTTGGGAAGTTTTGGAATTGCAAGGATTGTCTGTCACTGTGCTGCCCCTGGTCCCTGACAGGCAGACAAAAGAAAGCGCAGAAGGGTGGGGAGGCCGACCTGGGATGGGTGGGACGAGGCCCAAGAACTCAAGATACTGCACTCCTGGGCAGTCTGGGCCTGGGTTCCACGGCTTGACCGTGCCCCCTTCACAAACAGTTCGCAACAGGAGCTGGCGGAGGCAAGCTGCAGCCGGGGTCATGCACCGACACTGGTCACCGCTTAAGCAGCCAGCACTTATCAAGGACCCCAGGCATTACCTGCTTAGTCTGTTCTCTCTGAAATACCTCTAGCTGCTCCACCTGTGCGTGGGGGAGGAGCAATGGCGACAGTGAGATGGGGGCCGGGTGACAGCCTGGCAGACCTACCTGGGGCCGATACCTTCCCCTGGGACTACCAGTGGCAAGCTTTAAAATGCCAGCTGTGCTGCTTCTAGTCCTCAGCAGCTCTTGGCGTCTCCAGTGCAGGTGTGCCTCTGGACTGGGCTGGCGGCTGTCACAATGTGACTCTCCAGGGACAGCCTCCAGGAAAAGAGGAGGCCTCTGGTATTTTCTTTAGGACAAAAGGGGCAACGGACTTGAACTGTACCAGCCACCTTTTCAGCCACCCAGGGAACGAGGGAAAGCAAGACATCACATTGTGGGAGGAGTCTCCACCTCCTCAAACACAGAGGAGCAAGGTCCCTACTTTCTCAGGTCTCATCTCTGGGGTGTGGTTGAGCTGGGCACCTTACCTGGGCAGTGAGTTTCTGCCTCTCTTCCTGGAACCGCTGCCTCTCCTCCAGGACCTTCCCCTTGGCACCCTCGTACTTGGCAGTCATCACTTCCAGCTCGCGGGTAGTGCTCTGCGCTTCCTGCCGCATCTCAGCCAGGCGGGCCTCAGCATCAGCGCGCACAGCTGCCAACTCTTGGACGTACTTCTCCCGGGCCTGGTCCAGCTCCACCTCCAGAAACTGCCGGCCAAGGCTGGCACGCTCCCCAAGCCCCCGGTTCTCCTCAGCCAGCAGGCCATGAGCCTTCTTCAGCATGCTCAGCTGTTCTGCATAGCTGGCCTTCTCTGCCCGCAGCTGCTGCGCTGCTCGCTCCTGCTCTGCCACCTTCTGCCGCAGGGGCAGCAGCTCCCCAAGCTCCCGCTGGGCCCGCATCAGCTCCGCCCGCAGCCCACCAGCTGCCTGCTTGCTCTGTTCCAGCTCCTCCCTGTGGCGCTTCTCAGCAGCCGCCTGCTCAGCCTGTAGCTGCTGGCAGAGATGCTTGGCGGGCAGCAGCTCACTCACCAGGGTCTGTGTGCTGGTGTGCTCCAGCTGCAGCGCAGAGAGGGCCTGTTCCTTCTGGAAAAACTTCTCTTGCCATGCCTTCAATTCTTGGCCCAGCTCCTCGGCTCGCTCTGCTTGCGAGGCCAGCTCCTGCCGCAGGTTCTCTGAAGCTGTGCGCTGTTTCTCTACCTCCTCCCGGAGACTCTGCACCTCCTCACGAAGAGCAGAGCTGCGTTCTGCAGCTCTGGCACTATTGCTGGCCGTCTCCAGCTGGAGCAAACGCAGCCTCTCTTCCAGCTTCTGGCTCTTCTCTGACTCGGCTATAACCAGCCTCTTCAACTCCTTGCTCTCGCCCTCCTTCTCCAGGACCTGGCGGTTCAGGATGGATACTTCTTCCTCCAAGCTGCTAATGAGGCTGCCTTTCCTCTCAGCCTCCTGCTGGCCCCGGGCCACCTGAGCTTTCCACTCCTCCTCAGCCTTGCTGTGGTCTTGGGCCTTGGCACGGAGGGTGGCCAACTCTCTCTGGGCTGAAGCTGAGGCAGCCCGACTGTGCCCCAGCTCCCGGGCCTTCTCCTCTAACTGGCCCTGCAAAGTCTCCAAGGCCCTGTCCTGCTCCACACGGGAGGCACGCTCCGACTCCAGACCGCGCGCCAGGCTGTCAGCCTGCTCCTGCCACTGCCGGCACTGCTGTTCCAGCTCGCTCATCTCTGCCCGCAGGGCCTCCAGCTTGGAGCCTGGTGCCTCCGTCTTTCCAACAACTTCAGACGGGGTTCCTGTGCCTGAAGCATACTCTCCACCAGTCTCCCCTGCAGATTGCCGGAGCTCCTTTTCCTTCTTGGCCTGTGCCTTTAGCTGTTCCACAGTCTGCTGAAGCTTCTTCAGCTCCGTTCTCTGGACAGCCTCCTGTTCACGAAGTTTACTCAGCTCCTGGTCTTTGCCCTCCTTTTCTGTCAGGGCATGGGACAGTACCTCTTGCAGGTTAGCAAACTCCACTCGCTGTTCATTGAGAGCATTCTGCAGCCTCATCTCAAGCTCCGCTTTGGCCGCCTTCTCCAGGGCAAGGTCAGCTTGGGCCTGGCCCCGCTCCTGGGTCAGCCGTGCCACCTCCCTCTCCTGCTGCCCACGTTCCTCCTGCTGCTGGCCCTGGCTCTCCATCAGGGCTGCCCGCAGCTTCTCCAGCTCAGTGCCCATTTGTTCTGCCTCCCGCTCCATGGCCCGCAGTGCTGCCTGTGTGCTGCACAGCTGCTGTCCCTGCTGCTCTTCCGGCCACTCAGACGCTCTGTCTCTGGTCTTCGGAGGCTCCTTGATCAGGTCGAGAGAGGCCGTCTCCTGCTGCTCACCGGCCTTGCGCACCAAGGCCTCCAGACGGGCCACTTCCTTGCTGGTGGCAGCCATCTTCTCCTGCAGGGTGGAGAGGTCATCTGCCAGCTTCTGAGCCCTGTTCTCTTTCTCCTGGACCTGCTGGAGGGCTCTAGCCAGGCTTGCGTGGAGCTGGGCTAGCTCACTCTGCTGCTGGCCTATCTGGACCTCACTGTGGGCCTCCATCCCTGCCATCTTCTCCTTTGTCTCCCGCAGCTCCTGGCGGGACTTCTCATAGTCTTCCTTCAGGGTCATCAGCTGTTCCTGGAGGCCATACTGGGTCTCCCCTTGTTGGCTATCTTCGTATCGCTTCCGCCAGTTTTTAACTTCCTTGACGAGCAGCTCAACCTCACGCTCAGCCATGTTGTTGGAGGTTCTGGCCTTTGCCAGCTCCTGCCGAAGGGCTTTAGTCTCTGCCTGATGGGTCTCTGCAAGCTGCTGTAACTGCACACCCAGCCCCCTGCGTTTAGCCTTCTCTTCTTCTAGCTCCTTCCGTTCCTGCTTATGCTGTTCTGCAAGGCTTTGGGACTGTGCCTCCATTTCAGAGATACGGCGCTGCTGCTCTTCCAGGGCAGCTGCAGCTCTGGATTTCTCCTCTTCCAGGCTGCCCTTAGTGATCTTCAAGGATTCCTCAAGGGACTGGAGCTGCTCCTGAAGCTGGGCCTTCTCCTGGGCCACCCTTTCTCGCTCAGTTGCTTTTTGCTGCTCAGCCTTCAGCCGGGCCTCCAGTGCTGCCACCTGAGTCTGGGCATCGCGCTGCTCCTGACGGGCCGCCTCAACACGGGCATGGAGCTCCTCCACCTTTCGGCTCAGCTCTGCTTTCTCCTGCTGGGCCTGGGTCACCGAGTTGCGGGCACTGTCCTGGGCTGCATTAGCAGCCCGAAGTTGCTGCTGCAGAATCTCCAGCCTCGCAGCCTTCTCCTTCTCCAATGCCTCCAGCTGCTGGCGAGCTGCATCCCGCTCCTGCAAGGAGGCTTCCTGTGCCTTGGCAGCAGTGGCCAGTTGCTGGGTGTGGTCCCGCCTGCTGGCCTCCAGCTCCCTGGCTGCCCCCTCCAACCGCTGCTCCGTCTGCTTCAGGCTGCTGCTCAGCTGCTCCACCTGGTGGCGGAGGCCCTGAGAGGCCTGTTCTTGCTGCTGGAGGGTCTGTGCTAGCTGGGCCTGCTCCTTTTGGGCCTGCTGCTTCAGGCCAGCCAGTTCTTTATCCCGCTGCTGGAGGGTGGCATTGAGGGTGCTGAGCTCTGCTGTCAGAGAGGCCACCTGGGCATTCAGCTTGGTGCCTTGAGCCTGAGAGGCCTGCTCCAGCTCCTCCTTGGCCTGGCTGAGGTTGGAGATGGAGCTCTGTAGGTCGGTGATCAGGCTGGCCAGCTGCTGCTTTTCTTCTTCAAAGCGGCTCCGCTCAGCCAGCAGATGGGCTTCCTTCTGACCCTGCTCACTCTCCAGCATTTCCACCCTGGCTTGGAGCTGTGTGTTATTTGTAGCAAGAGTGGCTGCCTCTTGCTTCAGGTTTTCCAACTGGTGGGATAAAGAGATGCATAGGGATCAGCATGATTCCTCAGTCACCACATCCTCTGGGAAGCAAGGACAGAGAGGAACCAACCCCAGCACACAGGTCTTCTGGCTGCTCCTGGGTATTCCTACCTGCAAGACATCACCCAGCACCTCGCCCTTCTCCTGGAGCGGGCTCTCCAGCTGGGCCAGACGGTCTTCCAGCTGTGAAAGTTTTCCCTGAAGAATCTCATTCTTCTCTTCAAGGCATTTCTGAGTAGACAAGAGACCCATGTGAAGAGGTGGAATAGGTATCAAAGTACCACACAGGCCCTCAAAACATCAACAATCACAAAACGCTGGGCATGGTGGTGCATGCCTATAATCCTAGCACCCGGGAGGCTGAGGCAGCATGATCACTGTGAACTCAAGTCCAGCTAAGGCTACACATAATGAATTCAAGACCAGCCTGAACTACATAGTGAGACTCTGTCGAAGGAAGGAAGGAAGAAAAGAAGGGGGGAAAGCGAAGGGAAAGAAGGAAAGAAATGGAGAGAGAAAAGAAAGGGAAAGAGAAAAAAAAGAAGTCCCTCTAGGCATCAGCGCCACCACCAGCAGCAGCAGCAATCCTAGCCCCACACCTACTTCCCTATCTTTTTTTTTTTTTTTTTTTTTTTTTTTTTC